TTATTAATACTATTCCAAATGCAACAGAGAAGAACTGCTATTTTCATAAAGTTTATTTCTCTTGCTGTAAGTTCCTGAGTTGTACATTTGAAATTCATTAATCAAAATATAGGTAAGAAATGGCACTTCCCTATGTTTATTATTATTATTATTATTATTTATTATTTATTTTTTATAATTCTGTAGTTGCCTTACCCATCTAAGTCAAATTAATTAAGAAACCTATTATTAATACTATTCCAAATGCAACAGAGAAGAACTGCTATTTTCATAAAGTTTATTTCTCTTGCTGTAAGTTCCTGAGTTGTACATTTGAAATTGATTGATGAAGCTCAAATAGCAATCACACCAGACAGAAAACCACAAAAAAAAGAAGAAGAAGAAGAAGAAGGAGGATTTCACCACAGCCAGCAAAGATGCTTGAAAACATGACTAGCTTTCTACCATGTGACTTATCTTCCAGGAAAGTAAGAACTTGTAGTTCATTGTGACCCAAATCTCAACTCTCAAGTCGTCTCATTCCAAAATAACTGCATGTTTCCATTATCTCTTACCAGCACTAGGAACTGAACATTCCACCATGCTTTTAGACTACATTTTAAGATATAAATTTTATGACTATTAATTACTGATAGATATTATATAATGATTCTCGATAAACCTAACATCACATGCTTTAAATATGTAGCTCTCTAATTCTCCTTATGGCTTTGGATGACAGATTTAAGTTTCAGAAGATACACAATGGAAACGATGACATACATTATTTATGCAATGTCCAGTCACAACAGGCAACTGAATGATGAGAAATATATCAAGAACAAATTTGAAGTCTGAACCATCTAACTGATTCTACTTTACTGTTAAGATAAACTGGAGCATTAGTTTCTCTATCTCAATCTGATTGACCAGATGTCCATGCACCTTTAGAAGTAGTAAACCTCAAATACTTAACCCACCTTTTGAAAGACAGAAAATGGCACAAATGCAGGTTTCCGGACATCCAACAGAAACAAAAGTTGGTTCCTCAGAAGTGTTTTTTTTTGAGGAAATGGTTCCTCAGAAGTTTTAGCTTGTATATTTATGCCAACACAATTTATTATGCCCAAGTAGTTCTTGACAAGAGCTAACATGCCTACAACAGAAATGGAGCATGTTCAGGTGCACAGAGATAATGACAAATAAAGTGGAAGGGACACAAAAGCAACTGTAACTGACTATCAACCATAATATGAATGAATCGCAAAGTCAATAAATTCATACCGGTAGCTCTTCTTCACTAAGGAGGCTATGATAGAGAAGGATTGCCTTGCTTATCTCCTTTATATCGTCCGTGTTTAGCTCTACCTTTTCAGCCTCTGTAATTTCATAGACAGATTCATCTCTTGTTGTTACTAAATACTTACAATCATTATCACAGAGCTTGGCAAACCAATGAACTATGTCTTGCTCCCATCCATCATCAAGAAGGATTAAAATGCTCTTCCCATACAATGCTTCTTGAAGCAAGCAACATACACATTCCAGATTTCCACTGCTCTCATCCCTCATCTTTTACCAAAATCCAATCTGGACTAAAAATTTACAAATTTTCCATGTTAACTGTTGGAGAAATAGGGGGTTAGAAATGAGATCATTAGATCATTGGCTTCAAGGTGTGCTGCAAATGTCATTTTCTTTTAGGTTAATTTCGCTTCCACCAAATCTGGTATGCAAAGGGGGTAACCCGAAATGCCCATAGGATACAATGAAGCACCTTGTTGATCTCACCTTTGCATTAGCAAGATCAACTACTGAACCATCATTTGGAAAGCGACAAAACAATAGTTTTTGTATAGGGATTTCTAAGCAATCACAATACAAAAATGGGCTATTTTATTTTGATATTTCTGGATTTAAAAAGACTCTCTCAAAGAAGAAGAGATATCTCCATATTTATAAGGCAAGATGTATGTTGGAATAGACACTTCTTTTCAAAATGTCTATTAAGAACAAACACTTCTTTTCAATTTTTATCCGTTGGAAACTCTTCCAAAAGTCATTTGATTTGATTTGAGTTCCAACTCACGTGTTTCCTTACCTTCCAAAGTTATCCACTCTCTCCAGAAATTTATCTGAATTTTATCTCTTATTTTGACGTAAATGGTTCGAATAAGATAAATGTGATTCGAATTAGATAAATGTGATTCGAATCAAAATCGTAAATTTTTGGTTTCTAGTTTTACATAAATGGTTCGAATCATATAATTATGGTTTGAACCAAAGTTACACTTTCTCAAATGCATTCTGTGCAATTGCTTCGAATCAACTTTTTATGATTTGAACCCAAATCCTAAAAATATTTTGAAAATTCTTCAACATTCCCCCACCATTTTCAAAATAGAATAGCCCACCAATTGTTTTGGAAATCTTATGCATACATGAAGGTATTTTATGATTTGAACCAACATGTGTTGGCAAATTAATCAGAATTACATGGTAGACTAATGCTTTGAACTAGCGATTATAAGTGATTAATTGGGCACATGTCACACACAAGATTTCAAGCTTTCCAAAAAGGGAATTCAACATCCACCGACACAAAAACTGGCCATGTGTCCTGTATCATTTTCATGAGTGCTATTAGAGTCAAGTCCCCAACTCCTAGAAGCGGCACCACTTCCACTCATATAGGTAGATCCCATCAAAAGTGCCACCACATTAAGCACTTTAACAGAAATCTGTTATAGGACTTATTAAGAGTAAAACTCATTCTCCTTTTTGTTTCATGTGGTTACCAAGTATTTTTCCACTTGGGATGGTATTATTGATAAATTGAGTACTTGCAGTCACGTTCATATGATGTACTTTACTCATTGAACTTAAGACTTGAAGTTTTTATCAAGCGTTAAGTCAAGGTTCCATCATGTGTGACTTTTGTCAATATGGACTTGAGACCCATCTCTCCCTTTGTCTTGTGAATTTTCCTTTGATAATCCTTTTAATCAAGGATTCATGAAATTAACACAAGACCTTGCAAAGATTATGGTGATCACCTCATTTAAGAATTTATTATTTCCATGTTTATATTTTATGATAAAAAGTCTACTATCGTATAGACTTCTTTATAAGCACTTGATGACATCCTATTAATTTTAGTCATGATACACATTCATATAAGAATGTCTTAGATTAATATGAATGCTTGAAAAGTGTAGACATCTCTAAGAACAAGTACTATCGCTTTTTCTTAGTAACAAGTGTTGTCGCTTTTAAACAGTGCCATATAATCTTGTAATATCATGAACAAGTGGGATTCTTGCTTCCTCCACTTCAAAATTAAATTTTATTTGCTTTTCATGTGTCAAGGACTTTTAGTCCTCTCACTCTTGGGATTGGTCCCACCATTTTAAATGACATCAATATTCCTCATGAGAGACATATCAGGATAAATTCTGATTTATCAAAAATGGTTTAATTCATATAAATATGTTCAAACCAAGTTCCTGATACTTTTTGAGTTTTCTGCGTACTTGGTTCGAATCAGCTTTAAGTGATTTGAACCAAATTTTGGAACAACTCAAATCATTAGATTTATTTTCCACGACCAAGAGCTATTCACTCTTATTGTTTCTATGATTCTTTAAATCCATATTTCTTTTTCTTTTGGACCATTTTTCAGGCTTCCAAAAATCAATCAAGTGCACAAGGTTGCACTAGTTTCTACAAATTATTAAGAGATAACATTTAAACAATGATTCAAAATCCTTCATGACTTATCAAAACTGAGAGCCTTTTTACTTGGCCTCTTTTCTCTTAGTTTGTACTAAGACCATCAGTTAGATCTCCAAATGGGTTTGCCAAATCCCACTTCAATATTTCTTTCTTTAACATGGCTAAATAACCATCATGAGACTTGACTCTCACTTGTTTCAATTTTCATATACTGGTGTATAATCTTACAAACATAAATAAAAAGCATCAAAAGTAACAAGTAGAAATATGCTTTAAGCAACCTTTCATTAATGAAACATGATTAGATTCATTAGCCTCTTATATTTCCACAAGCCTCATATTAAAAACAGTAATAATGTTTAACACATGTACAAACTCAATGATTTTAACTAAAACTGTCATATACATAAACATGCTTATAGCATAATCCAAGTAAAGGAAATCTCATTGACTTTAATAAGCCTTAAGCAAACCTTAATAAGATCAGGTCTAGAAGTAAGATATACTACTTAAACTCCATAAAACTTTATAAGTATTCATCAAAGAACAGTAAATAATCATTACTAAATGAAAAGAAAAACAGAACTTTATTTTTATCACATTAGTAATCTTAAAATCAAGGCACAATCATGATCTTAAAACATGATCATATTCAAATCCATAAATATCTTCCTTTTCACAGCCAAGAACCATGCTATCAAGTCTAAGATTTATTTAACCTCCAAATGGAATTTAAAGACCCATTTTATTTCTCTTGCTTCATTGTGCCAAATGATGTTTAATTATGAATCTTTGCACAGTCATTTGCATCTTTGATAACTTCTTTAAAGCCATTCTCCAAGAGATGTTTTCTCCTCATATTTAATTAAATAGATACAAGAGATAAGCATGGATGAACAGCCTGTGAAACAATATCACTGAATGCAATGTTTCATTCAAAGAGATTTGATAGATAATGATATGAAACCATCACTCAAACTTGAAGAATTAATTTCTAAAACTAACTCATGTATCTAGATCATGAGCATTGTTTTTTCCTTTATAAACCCACTCAAAATTTGTTTGCAAAACAAAATCACATGAAAAATTCATGCCAATCAAGAGCATAAACTTATTCTACGTACCTAATCCTCCTGTATTGAGTTTCAATCTATGTGCACTTTGTTTTCCTTTTGCGTTGATATCATGCATCATCATCACCTTATAATTCATAAACTTTATTTGCATCCTGTGGTTGATTCATCCACCATCACTCATTGACAATTTGATTACACAATTCCTTTGTCACACGATTGCTATAATCAATTTAATAAACCACCACTTTTGTAAATGGGTTAATCACACTAGAAATCCCTTTTCCTTTTGTCACTATCACACGCCAAAACTCCCTGGTTTCACATGCATTTTGTAACGCAAGTTTCTTCTCAATTATCCAGTAAACCATGATCTCAAAAAACTAGAAAATTTTAGCCTAAAGATTGTTGGAGAAATAAGGGGTTAGAAATGAGATCATTAGATCATTGGCTTCAAGGCGTGCTGCAAATGCTACTTTCCTTTAGGCTAATTTCACCCCCACCAAATCTGGTATGCAAAAGGGGTAACCCCAAATGCCCATAGGATACAATGAAGCACCTTGTTGATCTCACCTTTGCACTAGTAAGATCAACCACTGAACCATCATTTGGAAAGTGACAAAACAATAGTTTTTGTATAGAGATTTCTCGAGCAATCGCAATACAAAAATGGGCTATTTTATTTAGATATTTTTGGGTTCAAAAAGACTCTCCCAAAGAAGAAGAGATAACTCTATATTTATAGGGTAAGATATATGTTGGAATAGACACTTCTTTTCAAGATGTCTATTGGGAAAAAAACACTTCTTTTCAATTTTTATCCGTTGGAAACTCTTCCAAAAGTCATTTGATTTGATTTGAATTTCAACTCACGTATTTCCTTGCCTTCCAAAGTTATCCACTCTCTTTAGAAATTTATCTGAATTTTATCTCTTATTTTGACGTAAATGGTTCAAATCAGATAAATGTGATTTGAACCAAAATCGTAAATTTTCGGATTCTGGTTTTACGTAAATGGTTCGAATCATAATTATATGATTCAAACCAAAATTACACTTTCTCAAATATATTATGTGCAATTATTTCGAACCAACTTTTTATGATTCGAACTCAAATCCTGAAAATATTTTGAAAATTCTTCAACATAACTGCTTCTGGTATTCAGTCTTACTACCATTGCAAGCAGCTCGACTGCAACATTGTCCATATCCAAGTTCAATAGCCCCACCACCAATTTCTTTGGAGGATCAGAAGCCACCTAACAAGCCAAACATGACTTTCCAATGCCAGATAATCCCACAATTAGAATGACCTGCCGAGAGTCCTTTTCTAGTAAATTCCTAACAAAGTCACATCTACTAGAAATTGGGTAGCCTTGTTCAGCCCTTATTTTCAGTCTAACCGGCATGTCCTGTGCAGTTGATTCTATCACTTTCTCAATATTTTGGGCCAAATTTTGAGACTCAAGCCACCAATTTAAGTCATACTTAATTGAATGGATCAGTTTTCCGAGTGGTCTCCAGCCATAGAATTCCAAGCTACCTTAGCCAACTTTTTCACTTTACTTCTTGGTACAATCGTTTTCGCCTCAGTGATATTTGCATGCAGCCATTCTACCAGGGCATTTAAGCTTTGGATTTGGTTACCTAATTGGGTATTATGTAGCTTGTTGACATGTTTTTGCTTAATTTACCGTGTCAAATTCTCCAGCTCACTTACAAACCCTTCTAGGTTGCGGATTCTCTTTGGAGCTTCATCAAGATTCCTTGAGGCTTGCTCCAATGCACCAACAATCCCGACCATACTTGAAATTATCTGTGTGGCAGAAGAAATAGCTTGCAACACATCCATAGCCACTTGCAACAACAGAACGGTGGTATTTCCAAAATTCACCACTAAGTGCTTCTATAATCAAGTGAACCTCAACTGGCAATAATTTAGGGAAACTTTCTGTTCTATAAGTATAAGAACACCGCAAAACAGATTATGCCAGAGATTAGCATTGACACAACCACATAGATTTCCCTATCCAACCAAAATGGACAACAAATGTAAAAATCAGGCCTGAGGAACGAGGGAGTTGTCCACACATTTTTCAACAACTCATTTTAATCCATAAAAGTGTTTTTAAGTAAGCACACCACTTTCTTCTCGTGGTTTTAATACTAAAATTACCATAATACCCTCAATGAAACCACACTATATTTTCATTAACACTCTCACTATGTTCCTCAATCCTTAATTTGAGAAAAAAAAAATAAAAACAAATGACATTTTAATAATTTTAATACTAAAACTGTATAAAAAATACAACTTATACTAAAAATTAACTTTCTCAAATTAATTGTAAAATATATAAAATATTACACCCTTAACTTGTTCTCTAATAACCATTAAGTTTACGTATCCAGCGGACTGACGATTTGGTCCTATAAAAGGTGATTTGGGCCTATACCCAATGTAATCAACCCCGACTAACCCAACTTTTCTTGGGCTCGAAAGTCCGAACCGCCAACTTGCAATCAGTTTGGTACTCTTTTGAGATTTGACTTCCAAAGTCTACTGACGAGTGACAACAAAACTCGGATTTCAGCTGCTGCTAACTCCACGAAATTCCCTCCACCGGAAGTTTCAAAATCCCACCGTGAGAGAAGAGACCTCTAGACGCCGCACTTATTGGAGCATTCAGTCTAGCAAAATGGTTCCTTAAAGTTTGGGTCCAATTCCGCTGGAACCATCTTAAAACTTCAGGGAGTGTTTTCGTTTGTGCGTGGTTTTGCCTATTCACGCGCCAAGTATTCGATGAAATGCCTGAGATTAATTGGCTAGGATCCTTTTCGTTTTTGTTCGAATCCACTGTGTAATGTGGGAAGTTGGGATGCTGTAATGTTTCAATGGCTATTAGATCGCTCTCTCAAGTCAGATCCTTTCGCTCTCTCTTCCACTCACTCTACAACCCCATATCCCTTCGCTTTTCCTCCGTCGCTGAAGAACAGTTTGACTGTCCATCACCAGAACTTGTGAACCAAATCGCTCGCATTCTCGGTGATCATAGAAATCCCAACCATGACTTGGAGTTTTCCCTCAATACCTTCTCATCCAAAATTTCCAAGAACTTGGTTGAACAGGTGTTGAAACGCTGCAAGAATCTTGGGTACCCTTCTCATAGATTTTTTGTCTGGGCTAGAAGCATTCCGGGTTTTCAACATAGCTCAGAAAGCTACCGCATTTTGGTTGATATACTGGGAAGTAGCAAGCAGTTCGCTATTTTATGGGATTTCTTGATAGAAATCAGAGAGTCTCGACAGTTTGAGATAAGCCCAGAAATTTTCTGGATTGTTTTTAGAGCGTACAGTAGAGCGAATCTGCCTGGCGATGCTATCAGGGCTTTTGATAGAATGGTTGAGTTTGGTATCCAGCCTTGTATTCATGATCTTGATCAGCTTCTTTATGTATTATGCAAAAGAAAGCATGTGAAACACGCCCAACAATTCTTTGATAGACTTAAGCACCGGTTTGAGCCAAGTGCAAAAAGTTATAGCATTTTGATGAGAGGTTGGGGTGATATTGGTGAACCAAGCAAGGCACAGAAGGTGTTCGACGAAATGCTTCAAAGAGGTTGTTCTGTTGATGTTCCTGCATATAATAGCTTATTGGAAGCCTTGTGCAAAGGACGGAATGTAGATGAAGCATATAATATTTTCAAAGAGATGGGTTCTAAGGGAATTGAGCCGGATGCTTGTAGTTATTCAATCTTTATTCGTGCATATTGTGAAGATAATGATCTTCATGGGGCTTTTAGGGTGCTTGATAGGATGAGAAGATGCAATCTTGTGCCTAATGTTTACACTTACAATTTCATTATCAAGAAGCTTTGCAAGAATGACAAGGTGGATGAGGCGTATGAGCTTCTAAATGAGATGTTGGAGAGTTGGGTGAGCCCGGATGTATGGAGTTACAATACAATTATGGCTTACCATTGTGAACACACTGAAGTTAATAGGTCTCTTAGATTGATCTCTATAATGGAGGAACATAAATGCTTGGCAGATAGACATACTTATAACATGGTCTTCAAGTTACTTATTAGAGTTGGGAGATTTGATAGGGCCACAGAATTGTGGGAGAGCTTGCCGGACAGAGGCTTTTTCCCTTCAGTGTCAACATATGCTGTCATGGTTCATGGGCTGTGTAAGAAGAAAGGGAAACTAGAGGAGGCATGCAGATATTTTGAGATGATGATTGAAGAAGGCATACCTCCATATTCTGCAACTGTTGAACTTTTAAGAAACCGGCTTTTAGGATTAGGATTATTGGATAATATTGAGATACTAGCAGATAAAATGGCGCAGAGCACCTCTTGTTTGATACAAGAGTTTGCAAGTGCAATGAGAGGTAAAGTGAACCCTGGGAGATCAAGAATTAGTGAAGAATCGGACATTGAAAGCGATTAAGAACTATGAGGCCCTACGTACCATGTTTCAGACTATCCAACTTCCCTTAAGATTGCATTACTATTTCTTCCTTCTTGATAGAAAATTGTGGCTTATGGTAGTTTTTAAGGAAAATAGAAGCCTACCTTTGAAATTCGATGGGGTGCATGGTGCATACTCTAGAATGAAGGAAAGACAAGCATTGCTAGGAGTAAGATAAAATGAATGAAGTGAGGATTATTTTTTACATGTTGCAAAGTAGAGTCCTTTACATTAAACTTGCAAGTTAAATAAGAATGAAAAGAGGTGCAAAAACTCCTTCAAGTTGTTTCAAGCGTGATTTAAAGTTTATTTTGGTGTAATTTACTCTTATTAGTGCTAATATGGAATGCGTTTGTTATCTAATCTTGTGTGTCTAACTGCACATATTTGAATTCACTAGCATTCTTTGGAACTTTTTTTCTTTCTTTTTTGCGTCTTTTTTAGTAATTCTAAAATATGGAAAATTTTGTATTCTAAAAACATAAAAAATACTAATAAATGAGGAGACTAAACTGGATTCTTATAATTTGAGAATTGACAAACCTTTTGTCAACATTTTGGAAAGAAAACGTTATATATATATATATATATATAAAATTATCTTTTAGCTCTTGCCAAAGGGTTGTGATGAAGATGGGTCACAACCCAATCACTCCACAGTAACCCGCCCATTAATTGCAACTATTTGCTTCAGTGTAGACCTAAATAAATATAATGGACTGAAGCAAGGTTATTATTTTCTTAATCAATTAGAAATTTGAATTGATATAGCTGGAGTAGCTCAGTTGGTTAGAGCGTGTGGCTGTTAACCACAAGGTCGAAGGTTCAAGCCCTTCCTCTAGCGTTTAAGGTTTTTCCCTTCAACTAATTTTGAAAATATGAATTTTCATTTTTCTCTTTATATATTCATTATTATTCATCTACATTTTGAGATTTATATTAAAAAAAATTTCGTTCAATAAACGTAAGCCAACGAGAATCCGAAGGGTTTTTTTTTTTTTTCTTTTTTTTGTGATATAGAGAATCCGAAGAATTATACATTAATAAAAATAAAATCAAGAATACATCAGTTGCTCAGAACTAACAATTAAGGCACGAAGAATTAGCAAGATTTGGCTGAAGCAACACACCTTTGATAATCAGATTCTGCACCATTTTCCCCCTAACAAAACAACACCCTTCAACCCAAACCCATTCCCATTTTCCTTTCCCTTCTGCTTGCCTCCAAACTAGCATTCCTGACCCAATTTCCCTGTACAACCAAATTGCTCCGTCACTTCCCACACACTTTGTACTTCCCCAACTCTTCCCACCTGTAAGTCTCATTCCCAATTCAACAGGCACATTCTCAATTAAGACCCATTTCTCCCCCTCTTCCAGCTCCCATATACACCCATCTCCTCCGTCTAACATCCCGCCAACCAGTGTCAATCTCCCGTTCCGCCGCACCAGGGCGGCGAATTCCAACCTGTCAGACAGTGGCACGCTCAGCTCTCGCCACCTGTTGGACCCTATCTCCAAGGCCATCACGCTGTAGGCCCTGGCTGAGGTCATCCAGTACAGGACCCCATCAGTGTAGACACTATCATTAGGTGTCCATACCGTTACCCTCACCGCAAACTCTGTTGGCATGGGCCCCACGATCTGCCACGTGCCGTCCCTCGAGTCATACATCTCTAACGTCGATTCATACGTGGCACCGCCTCGTGGTGCATCGGACATCCCGCCTGCCACGTAGATCATAAAGCATAGAGAATTACCATGTTGTCCCGACTCCAACAAGACAATTCCCACGGCTGGATTTGTCCGGGTGATGTTTAACGCTGGGAGCTGCCTGAATTCTCTGGTGAAAGGGTTGCATATGGCGAGCTGGAGAATCGTAGAATTTGTGGATCTTAAGAGGATGAGACTGCCGATTGAGGCGACAGGTCGGACCGGGACGGGGAAGAAATCAAGGGAAAGCATGTGCCAATTTCCGGTAACTGGATTGTGAGCATAACAGCATTGGCCGCGGTTGCGGGTGGGCAGAGCCAAGAACCAAGGTTGTTGGTGTTGCGGCCATGAACTGGTCAAGAGGTAACTCTTGGCACAAGTGTGCCAGCGCCGGCAAGCTGACCTGGCACGTGCCAAGGAATCCGGTGAGAGGAAGGAAAAGATTTTGGCTAGAAGATCAAAAGGAAGGTTGCTCCACATTTCTGCAACAAAAGGATGAAGAATTTTTTTTGTTGTTGAAGTAGATGTCACCTTACCTTACCTAATTCCAGAGCAGAATTTGCTCCCTCCCAGGCTTCAATTTGTGAAGGCAAGATTTGGGGGTTTAGAGCAAATTTTTCCCTAGACTTACCTGACCTTTCTTCGCTGCAGCTGTTGCGTCCATGAATCAATGGACCATATCGTGGGATTGGGATCATTGGATGCGTGACTGTCTAGCTTGGACATGTGAAAACTGACTATGTTGGCGTTTTTTGTGTTGTACTTTTGTGATGCTAGTACATGGGTGGTTCTTGGAGAAGCCCGAGGGGCAGGTAAAAAAGAATAAAAACGGACGAAGTTTATGCGTCTTTCAGCTCCAATCCTAACTTTGTGTTTATTAATATCTAATTCTGACATTTTTGGGGGAATAGAGATTGGTAGGCTCCTATTGTAAGATGCTCATCATAGTTTCCTTGGGGCCACTTTATATTAAAAATCACATTTGTTTTCTCTATAATGGACCGCTGGCATCGTCCTTGTACTAATTTAATAGAATTTACAATTTTATAGTTGAGACCGCACTGATATGATAAATAAAAAAATTAATTAGCCCCTTAAATAGGCCCTCTCCTCAGGATTGTATTGCATTTTTTCATATTGTTCTTATGTGTGAGTTAAGTGATATACATGAGATTTTACGTAATTGTAAACTAATTAGTTTTAAAATAATGGTGTGTTTTATTTATGTATTTTTTATATTGTTTAAAATAAATAAATAAATAAGGAAATTTGATCATAAACTTATGGTTAGGCACAAATTAATTTATCTGAATTAATAAAAAAAGTGGAATTTGCATCTTCATTGAAGATAAAGATGAAGGTAGTATGCTACAAAGACAGCATGGGAAATGAATGATGTTGATATTAGGTTTATCATGAAGCAAGATAAGGCGTAGAGCCTTATCCTGCTTCTTGTAATTATACCAAAACAATGAAAGCACTTGTGACATAACATTTCACCTGAATTTCAATAGGGCTTTTTGTGGAAAGCTTTTGGTGCCTTGAATTAATTTTTTTTAAACAATTAACATAGGTTAGGAGTGGGGAATTCGGACCTAATTTACGGCTGGGGAAGGTGCACCTCTCAACTAGTTGACTTTAATAGTCAGATGCTCGGCGCATTGGATCCACTTACTACTGTCAATTAATTAATTGCATTCTTCATTCTGTATCCACTTCATTTCTGCTATAGTTGAAGGACTGATGATATTCTCTATGAGATCTGTGGAGAAAATAAACAAATCAACTCACAAGCTTTAGAGTTCTGGTTCCTTAATGTTTAAAATATCAAAGTATTTATGTGTCTTCTCTCCCTTCACAAAGTTCAAGACTCGGTCCTAAACGTAAAACCAAAAGAAAAAAAAAATTTTGGCTTTATGAAGATTGAATTCCAAAGGAAAAGACAAAAATACAAGAATGATTTTTTGAATTGACACTTTTCATTGTTATACACACAAACATATTACTAATGCCCCATGGAAAATTTTCAACCGTTGAATTGTTTAGATTATCCCTAAATTAGAAAATAAGAAAGGAAAAAGCAAAACCTTGAATTTGAAATTTAATGTTAAGGGGTTTACACATAAATGTGAAGTCTTACATTTAAAGATATTAGTAAAAATTTATTTATATATAAATTTTACCTATTACATTTATATAAAATTTTAATAATTTATTTTTCTACTTTCAATAGTTGAGATTTATTTATATTTATTGAAAATAATTATTTTTAT